GATGATCTAGCTGTCTTTTTTCCCCCCACAACCTCTTTCTTCTAAGAAAGAAGTTGCAAACACTACAATCTTTCCTCTGAGGGGAGTTGTTCCACTCCTTTGATAATCTTGGTTGCCCTTTTCTGAACCTTTTCAGGGTAGCTATTTGTACTGTGGTTACTTGATGCATTTATTATTCCTTTTATTTTTATTTCATAATATTGATACATTGCTTGATTGTTTAAAAATACTTCAAAGCAGTTTACAAAACGATAAAGCCAGAAAATCCAGAAAAAAATTGACAAGGGTACTTTGAAACATGCAAAAAGTTAAAATATAAAAACAGGTTAAAATTCACCTCAACTTTCTAAACATCTACACAGGCTGGTTTAAACAAGAATGCTTTTGACATATGCTGCAAAAAGTACAGCTAAGGCACCGGCCTGATATCAAGAGGCCGGGAGTTCCAAAGTGTAGGCGTTGCCACACTAAGCAACCCCATTCTTACAAACGCAGTACTGGAGGTGATGATGTGCATTCATCAACCTTTGCCATAACCATTACTAACTCCAAAATGACAAACACCTGTACCGCTGAATATATATTTTTATTATTCTGGACCTAGTTTTTCTTCTTGAAAATAAATAAAAATATGCCACCCAAACCCCCAAATGGTGTGGTGTATACACAGCCAAAGGTTTTGCAAAACAAAGGGCCTTTTTTGCTTGACAGTTCAGTTGCCTGCCTGCCTGTCCTTGCCTCTCTCCTGCCGCCCTCCCCACACTCTCTGCCCCACCACATGGCTCTGGCCTCGGCACCAGAACAAGCCAACCCCTGATGGCATCTGTGCTAGTCAAGGTCCCAGGAGATGCCGGCGTCCCAGGAGGTGTTGGCCACAGCTCGGCAAATCTCTTCGCTCCATTAGGCACCAAATTGTGACATTAATTCTAACGGCTCTGTGGAGATGTAGCTGTCAGGGGTGATTTACTCCCCTCCAGCTGACAGGGGGACATTTACAAGCCTCCCTGTGAGGCGGGCCAGGTGGCCTCGGGTTGTATTCATTCATCCCAAGCTTGGTGGCGGCAGTAGCAAGTAGGTGGAGGGTTTAATCCTCATGGCCCCCGCCCCCCGCCAAAATGAGTGGGCTTGAGTGCCCTTGAATGATAACTGGATGCAGAGGGGGAGAGTTGGTATACAGGGCTCCCCATCAAAATAGCCCACATAAATCTCTGTGTTTGCTTTTAAATGCAGCAAAGTGGTTTTTTGCGGGCTAGAGAGAGGTCTTTTCAAATGTCCTTTATTACTGCCTCTGCTTAATTCTACATTCCAGTAACAAGAAAAGATTCAGCGGTGCCCAAAAGATGACCAAGAACATTTTCCATAAATACAAGGAAATTATAAACCAAGGAAAGCAAAAGAAACAATCAAACACGTCGTTTGCTAACACTAGAGCTTGAAGACATCTAATGAAACTGAACGTTGTAAGATTTGGGACGAATAAAAAGAAAGCCTTCTTCACAGAGTGCAGAGTTAAACTGTGGAACTCACTGCCACAGGAGGTAGTGAGGGCCACCAAGTTGGGTAGCTTTTAAAAATTCATTGAGAAGACTATTGAAGGCTACTAGCCACAATGGCTATGCTCTGCCTCCACAGCAATGCTTCTGAATGTACCAGTTGCCAGAAACCACAGTTGGAGAGAGATACTCTTGTGATCAGGTTCCACTTGCAAGTTTCCACAAGCATCTGGCTGCCCACTGTGAGAACAGGATGCTGGACTATATGGCCTGATCCAGAAGGCTCTTTCTGATGTTCCAAGGCCAAGGAAAGCAGATGAAACAACCTACACAGTTTGCTATCAAATCTTGCCTGTATTGTGGTGTCAGGCTCAGGATTCTGTCATGTTTGACATTGCCCCAGATATATGGATGACGTGTCAGATGTAAGCACAGAAGAACAGGTATGATGAAAAATAGATTTTGAGTACGTATATGTTCATTATCACAGGAACTCCCTAGCAGGGGTTCTGTCCCAACCTTCATGCTGTCTGTCTGCCCATTGAGAAATCATCCTTAGAGGCACTAGCTGAGTTGGTGTGATGTCACAGAAGCCCAGAGATCCAGGGACATCTGTTATGAAAACAGTTGAGTACCAATTCTGTAAGTCTAATTCAAACACCCCTGTTCTGTGTTCCAAGATAAGGCTGGGGCAGAAAGCTAGATGGTTATGAAGGGTGGGCAGAGGGGCAGGGCAGCTCTCCTTCGGTCCCCTCACAAAGCCCCCACCAACTTCTATTCCTTCTACCTTAATCTGGGCCCCCAAACACCAGGACATCTCCCCACAGAGGCCCATCTTGTGCTTGCAAGACTATAAGGCCTTCCTCTGTTTCTAAGGCATTTGACAGACTGAGCATCAGTTTCGTTTTGCATCCCACATTGGGTCACATAGTGTCCATCTAGCACATTGTCTGCAATGACTGACAGTAGCAGAAGCTCTCCAGGGGTTCAGGCAGGGGTCTCTCTGAGCCCCACCTGGAGATGCCAGTGTGGATTGAACCTGGGATCTTCTGCTTGCAGGGCAGGTGCTCTGCAGCTGAGCTGTGGCCCTTCCCTTGTCGTTAGATCTGCTTGGCATAGTGCTGCAGAAGCACAGAGATCACATAAAAGTCATCCTGTGAGTTACACACAAGCTTTGTGACAAAGGTTGATCGCTAATTCACACCCTGATCCCATGTTATTTGTGATTCATCTGGTTGCCAGGTAGACGCAACCTGCCTGGAAACCTGCCGCACCTGCCTGGAAACTGTTTTGATGAGAGGATTGGGTTGGATTAGCAGTTCTTCATGTGACACATCCTCACCTGTTTCCCCCCTTCTGTTTCCTTATGTTCACAAGGATCAGGTTACCCACCATCTTAGCAATGATAATGATTCAAGGTCAGGCTGCCCCACCATCTTTCTCTCTGCTGAAATAGAGAGCTTATGAGACTTAGGAGGCAAATGAGGAATTAATTGTATTTATCCACAGGGTCATGAGGAGGTTCAGAGAAGGTTCATTTTCCATCCTGCTGGAACCCAAGTGTGGCTAGTGGCACTGAAAGCGGCTTTATTGAGGGATTCCTCCATGGAAGGGGATCCCACAGGAATGGTCTTTGAGACCATCAGAGGAATGGGTCCTGGCTTCCAAGGACACCTCAGAAGGACATCAAAAGAGCCTTGTGGCTGAGGCCAAAGGCCATTAGTCCAGCATCCTATCATCATAGTGGCCAATCTAGGAATCTAGATAGATGACCTGGAGGTTTCATACAGACACACTGGTCACCCACAAACCCATGGAAGCCCCACAAGCAGACATGAGCACAAAAGCACTCTGCCTTTCTGTAATTCCCAGCAACTGGTGTTACTCAGATATGTTTACTGCCTCCAACAGGGGAGGGAAAACATAGCCATTGTGGCACGTAGCCACTACTACTGACCAGGCCTGGGCTGCCTTGACTTCAGACCCCTTCAGTCCACAGCCTGGGATGAAAGAACAGACACAGAAGACAGAAGGGGTCATTGGAGTGCCCCCCAGCACTCCCCCCAATAGTGACCGGTAAGTGTGGGAGCTTTATGGAGTTACAACCAGGAGAATATTTGAGCACATTGAGCATGAGGCCCCATCAATCTTTTGCTGACAAATTTATTGAAAGTCTTCACGGTATTTGGTCAGAGAGAAAGAGACAACAGACAGAACACATAACCAACAGGTAATATTCAGCATTACAGGTTATGATATACAGGAGTCTGCTTTGAAAAACACAGGGGTTCCTGGAAGAAGGAGGAGGGGGGATGCTTAGAAAATGTCCCTTGAGGGCTTTAAGATGGGTGCTTGGAAAGGGTCTGTCTCCAACATACAGAAAGTCTTCACCAGAGACTGTGTTAGGGAAGCTTTTGGCAATCAGGCAGCAAAGAAACGAATTCCTTTGCAATGACAGCCTCACAGAGGGGACTTTATCCCTAGCAAACTAATGAAATATGGACCTTGATTTGCAGTAAATGTTTAAGCTGCCATCCTGGACATACTCTGATGTACATACCCCATTGAGCTCAGACTTACTTCTGAGCAGACATGCATAGAACCTTAATTGACTCATTTGTTTGATTGCCCAGTTAAAAACCTTTTGCTCTCCAGTAAATAGGACATATGCTTCTCTTCCCCCTTTAGAACTATGTTTCAAATCTTACACACAAATTAATGCAGCTTTAGCAAGTTAATGAAGGAGCTGGTTCTTGCAGCAAAACCAACAAAGGGCCGGGTGGCTTCTTAAGGGACTAGCAACTTGATTATGCTATAAACTTTTACAGATAAAGCCCACAGTTTTATCTGCTGAAATGGATCACAATCCATCAAAGATGATGCCACAATCCATTTGCCCTGCCTTTCTCTGACCAGTAAGATTGACTTCTGTTCTACATCTTTGGATCATCCAAATTTCTGTTTTATTCACCCTGCCATGCTTTTGCATGTTTTCATATTGCTGATTTGCTGGTTTGGGGCTGTGTGTTTTAATGAAATATTGTTCATTTTTAGATAGTTCTCAGCGTCACCTTTTTTTAAACATTCAAGGGTATTATAAATGCTTTTAAATACATTTATAAGCCTTTGAGGTGCAACAAGGCTCTTTGTTGCTGAAGGGAATAAAACCCTTACAACCAATTGATAGGAATTCCTTTGATCAGGGAAGCAGCATCCCCCCCATTATGTGGGATTGCAGGGAAATAGGAAGCCTGTAGGTGCAGGGAAATAGGAAGCCTCAGGCTGAGGGAGCCGGCGTTTGTCCATAGACAGCTTTCCGGGTCATGTGGCCAGCAGGACTAAACCACTTCTGGTGCAACAGGACAGAAACCAGAGCAAACAGAAATGCCATTTACCTTCCCGCTGTAGCAGTATCTATTTATCTACTTGTACTGGCGTGCTTTCGAACTGCTAGGTTGGCAGGAGCTGGGGCAGAGCAACAGGAGCTCACCCCGTCGTGGGGATTCGAACCGCCGACCTTCTGATCGGCAAGCCCAAGAGGCTCAGTGGCTTAGACCACAGTGCCACCCACGTCCCAAAATTGCAGGGAAATAGGAACCCTGTGACAATGGAGGTCTCACCCCATTGGCCTCCAGCACCCACCTTCCCACCCAGTTGCCTACACTGCTTGGAGAGAAAGTAAAGAAGTGTGGGGAGATGCGTGGGGTGGGGTGTTTTCTTTCACCTTCTCTCCAATTAGGAAACATGGAGGGGGAGTGGAGCAGAGAAGGCCAGGGCTCACAGTTATTGGAGGGGGTTGGACTAGATGACCCTTGGGATCCCTTTGTGTCACCGCCATTCCTGGCAACTGTGCCAAGCTCCCTGACATTCCACAGAAGAACCACTTTTAAAAGGAGTAACTTGAAAAAGCACACAAACCCCATTTCCCACTCCAGGAGATGAATGACACATACAGACCACTGATCTCTATGAGCCTATGATAAAATGAGAACCGGTTCTGTAATTAATACACCTTATTCACAGCATGATGGAAATAATACAGCTAGTAGCCTACAAATTAGGGCCACCTTGGCCATAAAAGAAAAAAGAAAGAAAGAAAATTGCATCATTGGCATTTGAAAACCTATGTCTTGGGTGCATGCATTTTTTTTAAAAAAAGGAAAAAACCCATTCTCCCTCCCTCTCTCTCTCTCTCTCTCGCTCATATTCTTTTAAGAGTCTTCTTAGAAGGGTATTTCCTCAAAATATCTCACCTCTTGGAAGTATTCACACACACACACACACACACACACACACACACACCTTTCTTTTCACTGTGGAAAGCAATTTTGAAGCTATGTAATTTTTTCAAGAGCTTCTGATAGGCCTGGGATGGCAGAAAGGCCAGTCCTTCCACTGAGAGATGTATGGAGAACAGTGTTATTTTAAAAAATAGAAACAAAAACAAAAACAAAATTAACATCCCTCCCCAGACACACATATATCTTATGGAAAGCACAAGGCCTGTTAGGCGCTCAGCAGCACAGCACCCTGTGCAGAAGCTGCAACCATCCTTGGGGGAAATACAGAAACTTCCTGGCATTTCCCCTTAACCATTTGGTGCCATCAGTAGGGTTGCCTGGCCCTGTGGTTCAATGGCAAGTGGCCCAGCCCAGGAATCACTTCCAGACTGTCAGTCAGGCCCAAAAGGCATCTTGGTCCATATATATATTTTTCCACACATGCCCCTAATATGGGGCTAGTCCTGCGGTTTGGGCAGTGGATGTTGTAGGAGGATTTCCTCCATCATCTTTGCTGGCCGATCCCAACACCAGTTGAGATAACATTGTCATTCCATTTTTTTAAAAGTCTCAAGGGAGCGCGCACACCCTTGCCAGATGTGATGGGCTCCATCAAAACTGGGCATGATCCACTTCGTCCAGCCATGAGGCAGGACTCGCAGGGAAGTCTGGGTAGCCCCCGCTGCTCCCCGTGGAGAGGTCCGAGCTGGGTCCATTCCCTGCCAGCACCCTCATGGGCTGGGGCACTCCCTGTCCGCTCTGCCCCACCAGGCTGAGGCCACCATCAGGATAAACCAGGCTGGACATCAAGGGCTGGTGGCCAGGCAGGGCCTGCAAAGGGCTGGTAGGGCGGAGGTCATGATACTGGTCTGGAACCGGGAGTCCGCTGTGCTCCAGGGAGAAGCCTCCATTGCCCCCAGCCGGCCGCCCCAGGGCAGGAGAGTTTTCCCCAAGGCTGCCATAGACTCCATTGGTGTGGCTGATCTCAGAAATAGATGGTTCATCTGGAAGAGGGGGGAAAGAGAGAACAGCTTTATTTTTATTTTATTTTTACAAACTTTGTTGAATTAAAAAAAACAACAACAATCACCAAGCATAACAAATTGTCTTCCAAATGCATGTCCAGATGTTGCACATTGCAGTGTGTTGAGCTAGATGGCCCTTGGGATCCCTTCCAATTCCTTACCCTCCAAGTGTCCCTATTTTCCAGGGCCAGTCCCAGATTTACAGAAGCCATCCCATATTCAGATTTGAGTCCTATTTTCTTTGGAGAAATGTTGGAGGGTATGGAGTTATGCAACTCTTGAACCAAGGAGATACAACCTCTAGAAGACAACTGAAGTCAGCCCTGTATAGGAAGTCATTTTTTTAAAAAATGCTTATTGTTTTATAATGTTTTTATATATGTTGGAAGCCGCCCTGAGTGGCTGTGGCAATCCAGTCAGATGAGTGGAGTATAAATAATAACATTGTTATTAATATGAAATAGAGCGTCCCTATTTTCATTGGAGAAATGTTGGAGGGTATGCAATTCTACAATTTTATGTACCTGTGAAGGAGACCTCAGCGTCGCTGTCCGGGCCCTCTTCCTGGATGCTCTCCTTGTCGGATTTAGAGTTCCCTCTTGACCGCTTCATGTTCCGGAAGTATTGCCCCCACCTCTGCCTCCCAGCGTCTTTCTTGAGCCGCTTCTCTTTCGCTCTCCGATTCTGGAACCAAACCTGAGGAGGCAGCCAGGAGAAGCTCTTAAATCTGCAACATTTAAGTGCTCCTGAGAAAGCCACTACCATCCTTGGAGCTGCAATTCACCTCTCACTGCAACATGGACTCACTGCAACATCCCCAGAGATGTCCATCTCTCACCTATTTTTATTTTTCTGAGGGTTGGGCATCTGCTACAAGTTCAAGCTCACATTTACAATATACAAGTTTATATTGACCTCTGAAGTTGTGGGATTCTGTCACCACAGAAATGCTATTATATATAGTTTCCATCAGGTATAGGTATATATGTGAGTATAGGGCAGTATAAAAATGTCAATAATAATAATCATTATCATCATCATCATCATCATCATCATCCCAGCATATAAACCTGATTCTTTAGTGTAGCAACAACTACACTTTGGAACTTCCTGCCTCTGGATATTTTGGTACCTGCTCAAACATTCATGTTTAGACAAGCCTACACAGACGCTTAGAAGGTTTTGTACATTTTCAAGTATTGTCACTTGATTTTATTGTTTTATCTTTTTGTAAACTGCCTTGAAGGGTCTTTTTTAACAACCAGGTGGTGTATAAATTTTATAGCATAAGCAAATAATATAATATATTGAAGATGCACCACTTTACCCTGGCCTTGTGGCCGTAATTTGTTTTAAACTTTTTTTGGGGGGGGGGTATTCAACTAAGTTTTATTCAGAGTAGATATGTTGGAATTAATGAAACTACCTTAGACATGGTCATTCATTCCAGTAGGTCTACTCTGAGAAAAACTTAGTTGAAAAAAAGCCCTGTGTTTTTAAATTGCTGTAACCTTGTGGTGAAGGGCAGGGAAGACATTGAATAAATAAATATTTATTGGTATTCCTACCTCCAGTTAGCCATTCGTTACCTGAAGGTGTCCAAGCAGTTAATTTTTTATTAATGGTTAATTATCCAAGCAGATAAATAATTTTTTCGCTTTTGCATTACAGTACAACAATTCAAAACATGCATGTAATAGGACAAATAGACAATATTTAACAGCACATTTAAATGCCAAATTGCTTTGATGAATTTATTGCTGTGTTTGCTTTACTTGCATGTTATAAGGATTGCAATCTTTTGTTGTTCTTAATGCCATTGTGATTATTGTGCTTTGAGCTCAACATCCATTGTTGGAAAAGCAGAACAAAAAATATCAAAGCAAAGCAAATATTTATATTAATAATTGTTTGTTTCATAAAATTTATACACTACTCAAAAGTAAAAAAAAAAAACCAGCACCCAAAGCAGTTTACAAGAAGATAAAACAATAAAATCAAGAAAAATCTAAAACATAGAAAAGTAGATTAAAATCTACAACAACTTTCTAAGCATCTGGAGTCTGGACCCCTTTGTCTAAATGAGAATGTTTTTAGCAGCTGCCAAAAAGAGTACTGTGAAGGCGCCTGCTTGCTTGATATCCAGAGGCAGGGAGTTCCAAAGCTACCACACCAAAAGACCAAATTCTTACAAAGGTATAATTATTATGTGGCACCTATATTAGTGCCAATTCTGCTGATTGAAGCAGTCACGAGGGCGCATGATGGGTAAGGCAATCTCATAGGTAAACTTGTCGCAAGTTGTTAAGGTTTTATATATACTAACACTAACAACTTGAACTTGGTTCAGCAGCAAATCAGCAATCATAGCAGATCTCTGAGCACAGGTGTTATATGCTGACAAGGCACCAGTCCAGCCAGCAATTCTGCTTCAACATTCTGCAGTGGCTGCAGCCTATGGATCAAGCATGAGGGAAGCCCCAGAGAGGGCTCAGTGCAGTAATCCAACCTTGAAGTAACAAGTGCATGAACTACTATGGCAATGCTTTCCCAGTTCAAGAATGCCTGCAGCTGTCGCAGTTGGGTAACAGTCGATATTAGTAACATACCAGCAACTATTTTGCCAACCCAGCACACACTCTTCTCTCTCTTTCTCTTTATTTAAACAGTTTATATACTCTTAACTATAATGGTCTCTAAGCAGTTTGCAAAGATGCAATTCAGAATCAGTAAATATATATATATATATATATATATATATATATATATATATATATATAATAAATCAAGCATTAGTTAAAATGCTTGCTGGAAAATGCCTGCTCCCTCCCTTGCCCCACCCGCCCTCAGTTAGGGTCACTCACCTGGACCACCCTCATATCCAGGCCGGTCTCGGAGGAAAGCTGTTCCCTCACATGCCGGGCCGGCTTTGGGGAATTGTTGTATGCATTTTTCAAGGTCTCCAGTTGCTTGGCTGTGATTGTCGTGCGGGGTCTCTTCGCTGTGGACTCCGCTTCTGCAAATGTCCCCAAGAGACAAGGCATCAAAGATCCCAAAATTCCAGGAGCCCCAAACCTATGACCCTAAATCAACCCCCAGCCCATCCAATTCTCTGGATTGTGGTTGGTTGTTGTTTTTTAAAGAATTCTTTATTGGTTTTTTTTCCATATATCCAAAATAATACAAGCAAACATTTTTTTCACCCATAACCTTGTCTCCCTACCCTCCTCAGAACAAAAAGTGGCTAGTAACTTTTATGCGTGTGTGTGTGTGGATGCATGCTTTTCCATAAATTTCCAATAGGTGGTTGAAAGACATATTCCTTAGATATTAAAATTGAAATAAAACCTGCCCAAACTTTTTAAAAGTCCTTTGTTATGTTGTTTTTCCTTCTTGTTCTAATTTCACACGTCTGTTTTTTTTCCAAATCTGAGATGTCCATTCAATCCACATAGCTCTGGAAAGAGTTCACCAGTGCTTCATTTCTCTGGTCTCTTTTGAACTAATGGTATAAACAATTCAACATAAATGGGACTGAACTCTATAACAAATCCTGCATAGTAGGAGACTGGACAAGGTGACCTTTGGCATCCCTTCCAAATCTACAATTCTACGATTCAATTCTATGGAATCAATTTACTAATTGTACTGTTCATATTGTACTATTGGAAAACCTGGCAACCTAAACTTGCATCTGTTATTTCTTCATTAATCCCGATATCACATCACCCGGATTTTTTTCCAGCAAGGGAGAAATAATTTGGGAATCCAAATATTTACACACATAGTGAGATTTTTATACCAATAATCAGCCTCCATTAACCCAATAAAATAAACTTTGCCAAATTTTTACACAAGCTGGATTTAGTTTAATCAAATGGATAGTTTTATTATAAAAGCGTATGTAAAAATACAAGCTCTGAGGCCCTTGACAAAAACTGAAAATTTATTAAACACAATGGATAGAGGCGGGGGAAGAGTTAAATGGTACTCTTTATTGCTTAATGTAACTTACGGATCTATGGAACCCCTTCAAATGATATGGGAATCAGATATCAGCACACAAATTCTTCTAATGGATTGGAATAAAATTTAGGAATCAACACCTCCAAAATCTGTTTCCAATTTTCTTAGGGAAACTGACCAAGTGACTCTGGCTCTACCCATTTCCATCATATACCTCCTGACAGATTCCCCCTGATAGAATGTGGTCCTCAACAGAAAATACCTCACCCACCCCAGGTGTAAAGAGAGGTTGGAGAACTTTCAAAGCAGATAAAAAATCCATGTGACAATGAGTGTGCCAAGACACTCCCGTACTAGGGGAGGCAACCCCCTCAAAGTGAGCACCACTTTGTGACCATCTATGGTGAAAATGCTCCATAAATATTGGAGATGAAATAACAGGGAGCCTTCTGGGTGTGACCCACCTCTCTGCTTGGCTGTCTCGTAGTCAGCTTTGCAAACCAGGCGGCTGTCCTCCATGAGGTAGAATTCGTCCCCTGTGGCCAGCTGCCGCTTGCAGACAACACAGGAGAAGCAGTGGAGGTGGTAGACAAAGTCCTGGGCTCTCCGCACAACCTGTGTTGGAGGAATCCCCTGTTGACAGGCCGCACATTTGGTCCCAAACCTCCTGTTTGGTCATTGAAAGGAACAAAGCTTTAGTTGTGATTCTTGCATGGCAGAGGGTTGGACTAGATGACTCTTGGTACCCCTTCCAACTCTACAATCCTATGATTCTGTAAATTAATATGTTCTGATTCCTTCCTTGAAATGTTCCTATCATTGCTGAAGAAACTACATTCCTGTTGTGGTCCAGGATAATTTGCCTTCGGGGGGGTTGGACTAGATCAGCGTTTCCCAAACTTGGGTCTCCAGCTGTTTTTGGACTACAACTCCCATCATCCCTAGCTAGCAGGACCAGTGTTCAGGGATGATGGGAATTGTGGTTCAAAAGCAGCAGGAGGCCCAAATTTGGGAAGCACTGAATTAGGTAATCCTTGGGATCCCTTCCAGTTCTATGGTTCTAAGATGCAAAGAAGATGATCCCATAGTCAATTGACAGCTCCTGGATGTACTTATTTATTATTTACTTATTTCATAAGATATTGTATGCTGCTCAATTGTAAAAATAAAAAATTAAAAAAATCTCAAAGTCATTTTACAAAAAAGATAAAGCATTAAAATGATCACTAAGAAAAATTGACAATAATGTAAGAAATTCAAAAAGTTAAAATAACCAATAGACTAAAGACAAATTAAAACTCATCTTTAATTAAACAACTGCAGCAATGTCTCTTGAAATAAATCAGCAGGGACAAATTTTATCTCATAAAATTTATACATTGCTTGATACTAAAAAAAAAACCTCACAGCTGTTTCCAAAAAGATGAAACAATAAAGTTACCAATAAGAAGAATTAATAACAATTTAAGACTTTTGAAAAGTTAAAATAATAATAGACTAAATTAAAACTCACACCAACTTTCTCAATGTCTGGAGAGGTTTGTCTAAACAAAAAAAATGTTTTTAGCTGGTGCCAAAAAGAGTACTCTGAAGAAGGTGCCTGCCTGATATCAATAGAGAGGGAGTTCCAAAGTGTAGGTGCTACTACAGTGAAAGATTTGAGAACTTACAAATGGGGAATTTATTGTACAATTCTGCTGTTGAAGGGGCCCAAGAGCATGCTGGGACACCTTCCCAAAAAATGGACACAGAGTGAAATCTGGAGTCATGCACACTCATCCCCCTGAAAGTCCATAGTGCAAGTGGTACAGGGAGCTGGCTGTCTTTCTTCATGATGGGAGGGGAATTCTGTCCATGCCCAAGCAAAACCTGGTTGTTGCAGGTGGATCAGGCCAAAGGGGGCCCATCTAGTCCAGCATCCTGTTCTCACAGCGGCCAAATGCCCCCAGAACCTAGGAACTGAGATAGACTGCCTCTGGACCTGGAGGTTCCATTAGAACATAACAAGAGCCTGGCTGCTGGATTGGGCTAAAGGGAGTCTATGTCATACAGCATCCTGTCCTCACAGTGACCAACAAGCCCACAAGCAGGATCCAAGCACAACAGCAACTCTCCAGTTCCCCACCACCTGATGTTCAGGAGTAGACTGCCCCTGGGCATGGAGGTACCACTGTCATCATAAACCTGGCCACAATGAGGACTGGTGGCTGAACTAGACAGGCCACTGGCCTGATCCTGCATGGCTCTGCTGGTGTTCTTATGCCTCCAATGGACAACTCTTTCTTTGGCTTTTGCAGGATATCAATTGGCCTGAGTCCTACCTCCAGGCAAGGCTTGCAATTATTTAGTTGTGATTCCTACATTGTAGGGACTTGAACCAGATGGCCTTAGGAGGATTCCTTCCCCTTCTGTGATTCTTTGATTCTGTGACCTTATTTTGTTGCACAGGGGGTGGATCCCAACAGGGATCTCCCCTTAGGAAACGCACTCCCTTGTGGCCCATTTGATCCCCCTCCTCCACCCCCAGGACTCACTTAAAGAAGTCCTCCTTGCAGTAGACGCTCTCCCCGCGACTGAAGCACTTCTCCGCTAGCTGGACTTGACAATCACTGCACTTCAGGCACTTGCTGTGCCAGTGCCGGTCCAGCACCTTCAGGATGAAGCGGTCCACAATGTGCTGGTTGCACCCTGCGCATAGCGGGACCTCTGTCGGGGAGAAAGACACAGAGACACCTGTCAAGCCAGGTGTTTGCAACCTTGCAACGGGTTTGATGCAGCAGCAAAAAGGGCTAATGCGATTTTAGGCCAGAGCAAGGGAAGGAATAGTAATGTTCCATTCTGCCCTGCTCAGACCTCACCTGGAGTCCAGTTTTTGGCACCACATTGCAATGGGCTTAACTAGACGGCTTTTCGGATCCCCTCGGTGTAGGACGGAGCGTGAGAGGTGGGGGCGCTGAGTTGTTTTTTGCGTTGCACAGGGTGCTGCTGAAATTTGAGAGCCCAAAGTCTGCCACTGGCCCCCTTCTAGAATGCTATGATCCTTTAGCTGTGATTCCTGCAGTGCAGGGGGCTGGACTAGATGGCCCTCATGGTCCCTTCCAATTCTGCAATGCTGATTCTAATACATCAATGATTTTATTTATTAAAAAAAACACCAAACCATTTTTAAAGCATTCTAAAAGAAGTTTGAAATGTTCTCCCAGCCACTGATCTCAAATGTTGCCAGAAACAAAGACTTTCCCTTCAAACTCAACGATTCTATGATCCCCCAAAGGCCTTATGGCCGGTAAATACAGTGATAAATACATAAATAAAAATTAAAAACATAATAGACTATATCCCTTACAGATGTTAAAAAGAAAACAACCTGGAGATTTTAGAGACATGCAGATTAGTTCGCTCAATTCAGTAATTGAGTGATTAATCTAGGCATCTCGCTCTCCCCTCACTTCTGCCTCTTGCGCGCCCAGTTCTTGAGTGGTCGCACAGCGCCTTGCGGATGGATGCCGGTGAGCCTTTTCCGGGGTGGGGGAGCGCAATGTCTCTCCTGCCCTCCCCTTTTACTTCCACTGGGAAGCGAGCCGTCCACTGGCATCCCCAGGAACTGGGAGGTGGGGAGATAGAGAGAAATGGATCGCTTAAGGCGCAACCCGATCCTAAGGCACGTTGGCTCAGAAGCAAGGTAGCAGGATCATGGCCTTGGCAGACGAGGAACCTGTTGCATTGCTCACTTTTGCTGTGGCTTCCTCCGCCGCCCCCATTTATCCCCCCCTTTTTTTTTTAAGTATTTGTCGATTTTCCTAGGGGGGTCTTCCTCCGCCCTCCCATTGGTCTGAACTCACACACGTCGCCTTCCTCCTCCACCACCGCCATCAAGTCCCATCAAAAAAACGAATCAAGTCCCATCAAAATCACCGCCAAAAATAGGAAAGCTAAATTATTGCTTTTGATTTTTCCTCACTGGTAATTTTATAGTTTGTGTAAACTGCTTTGAGGATGTGGCTGTTGGTGGGTGAGTTTTTTAAACAATACAGCGGTGTATAAATTTTACCAAATTTTACGATAAGGATTCCCTCCCCCACCTCGCGCGCGCCCAGTCGCGGGCAGGGTGCAGAAACAAATCAAGGCTCAAAATGTGGTTTTAAAACATCCAGCCCTGCCTCGTTTTTGCCTGGAACTTTCCTTGCTTTTCCTTCGCGTTTTGTTTCTTTTTTATTTTATTCTGTTTTTATTATTATTATTATTCTGTTATTTGTTTGTTTTCCTTTCTGGAAATTTGGGTTATGACGAGTTTCAAGTGCCTCCCCCGCCCCCCTTTTTTAACACAAGGCTGGTTTTCGTTTTCAGTCGCGGCACTCGTCATATCCCCGAGAGTATTTTTGTGCGCGCTCCTGATTTATTTTAGACCCTTCCTTTCCTTGAACTTTTTCTGGCGAAAGACGTCAGCGGTTCAGACGCATTGCTTTTGACACAGGGGTTCGGGATTTTAGGACTCACCTTAAATTTAGGGTCGTGTGTTGTTTTAAATGTTTTTTTAAATACTGGGTTTTAGTGCTGCAACCCGCCCTGGGACCTTAGGGTGAAGGGCGGGCAATGAATAAATTCATGATGATGATTAATCTATTTGACGTTTATTGTTGTTTTAACTATCACAGTCGCATCAACCACAGGAATACACACACACACCAAAATTGAGGAACAGCTTCAACCGAAATATGCCTTTACATTAATTTATAGCAAAATAATATGAAAATGAATGAAAACTGTTGTTGTTAATTCGCATTTACCTATATCTATATCTATAAAATTGAAAATAAATCCTGATAGCACTTTATTTAGAAAATTGAACAAAACATAGTGCATAATTGGAGGAGGGCGAAAAAGAGAAAGTTTTTGTCTTTCTTAGTTCAGGGAGACACTCAACTAAACATATGAAGTGTTGTTGTTGTTGTTGTTGTTGTTGTTGTTGCTGTTGTTGTTGTTGTTGAGAAGAGGATCCAAGCTTGAAACCAATAAAGTTTCCCCCCTCCTGGGCCAGAACTTGACTCCACCCTCCACCAAAAAAGCCGGAATGACTTATTTGAGTGTCCGTTTCTACACATGATTTCCTTTTTCTGGGTTCCAGACACGTTTTGTGAGAAGAGCAACCAACAGCCAGGACGGGGCATTTCTTAATCTTTTCTCACGAAAAGCGACCACAAAGACTCTGTGATTGATTCCTGTACTGCTGAGGGCTGTACTATATGATTCTTTGGGCCCCTTCCCAACTCTGCTATGATTCTATTAGTCTTCGCAAACGAAATAAATAAAAAATACTTTCCAAAACAAAATAACCTTCCCCAAACGAAATTTAAAAATTCCCCAGGTTTAAAATAATAACAATTCTCCAGCTTGACCCTAACTAGGCTCAAGTCTCCTCACGGGGGCAGGGGGCGGGGGGCTTGATTTCTTTTTACGGTTTTTAGTTCCCTTTTCGCCGGAGAGCAGCTGGAGAAAGGTTCAGGGGCGAAAACGCCCCCGCCCCCAATCACAAGCCGATGCATTTACCAGGACGGGGATAACTCAGTTGCATGGAGCAGTAAGACTCTCAGGAACCCTTCCTTCCTTTCTTTAAAAATATGTTATTAATATACAAAATAAACCATAAATAAATAGTTACCACCACCACCCCATTTGAGCTATTATTGGGATTTTTTCTTTAAGAAGGCAGAAAACACTCCGGTCCAATATTTTCTCCGCTGCGACTAAAACAATCCTGTATGTACGACTAGCTGGTTGGCATTCATTCCCCATTTTACTTTATTATTATTATTATTATTATTATTATTATTATTATTATTATTATTACTGAATTTTTGATGCCATTGTAAATGCAAACACAACTTAAAACTCAAAATCGAAAATCAAGAACATCTAGGGAGACATTTCTGCCTATACATGAAACCCACTCAGTTTCGGAGAAGGTTACATTCTAGTATGCTGATTTACGATTATTGATATTCATTGTTTCTCTTTCTTTATTATAGGAATCAGCTGGCCATGGGAATAAATAATAATAATAATAATAATAATAATACGGATTGATAGTACCAGACCATACTATATGATGAAGCAATAAAATCATGCCCAACAGCATGGAAATTATGGGGGGAGGGAATTGTCCCCTTTTTGCCTTTAGCTTTTAAGATATTTTTTCTAATAATATAATATAATTAATATAATATGCATTATACTCAAACATATAATCAATCAATAAGTTTACTGTTCCAGCCAAAGGCCATGAGAAGTCCGTAGCAATATATTCATAAAATAATACAGAGCATACATCTATGATATAAACCAGCATCCATTGTGTAAGATAAAAATCTGAAATAGATTTCCCCTGTTAAAGTGGTTCAGTTCTAGAGCTTATGTTGATATTTTTTAGGCACCCCTGTTTCCCTTTTCAGCACGTTCCCTACGTTTGTGTTCCTTCTGCAAAGTATAAGGTAGTCGTTAATATGATTTATATTAACCGTCCACCCAAATGCGCTTGTGCAAATATATATATATGGTGGGAAAGGTCCAATTCGGCGGAGGGGCTCTCCAAATCTTCCTCCCTCGCAAGAAGTTTCTTGGCGGCCCCGATCCACCGATCATTCTTTTCTCTCTCCCGCTCAGCCAACACCCCCAACCCCAGCCCCTTTCCGATCTCCCCTTTCCGAGATGGACGGACAACTCTTTTTCGGACGTCTCTCCCCCGCACCCCGAATCTGGAGGAGGGGGGAGCAAATCCGAAGACAGAATTGGGGGGGCACTCCCTTTTCCCTCCTTCGCAATATTTTATTTGGGTGAGGATTTGTCTCCCTTCAGGTGAGCGCCCCCCCCATCTTACCTCTGCGGGCCAGGAGGGCGAGGAGCGTCTGGGTGCCGACGGGGGGCTCCATCCTGCCGCACCTCCAAACTGGGCAAGGCGGACGTAGGAGACTGGGGGGCGGGGCGGAGAGGAGAACTGCGAGAACCGCCCCTTTAAGGTGCGCGGTCGGGGGAAGCCCAGCCTGCCCGCTCACGTCCCCGCCCGCCGCTTCAGCACCACGGACAGCGACAGTGCAGCCGGGTATTCTGAAGCAGGAAAGCCGCTCTGAGTTTTGTTTTACCATCAACGTGTACATGCGTTTTACTAAATTTTACTAAATAAATAAAGGCCCGGCGGAAACATAAGGAACATACAATTAGCAGATAACTAAAATGTTGTCTTAAAGGTTTCGAAAGAACTAATAAGAGGAGACTGAAATATTATCATCAATATTTCACAATAAGAACTCAAAACATCCCCTGAATGTAGTAGCTTGGCTATTGGGAGTTCCAGCGAAAGCGTTGCCTCCCTGACTGAGTCCCTGAGTTGGTTTACTATATTTGCTTCACGGTACACCGTGAAGGAGCCCCTTTGGCGCAGAAGACGAATGGGGGCCTAAGTATTCCTGACAGGTGGCCATCCAACCTCTGTTTTAAAACCTCCAACGAAGGAAGTTTACGCTTTTTTTAAAAAGCGGGGGGTCAACCTGTCATGCCGTGGAGAAGCTGAGCTTTGGGCGTATCGAGGATCCCTGTCTTCAAATTGGCTTGATTTTCATTCGTGTATTTCTTGTGAGCCGCCTTGAGACGCAGGTGGTCAGACGGATTAAAATATACCTAAAACTTACCTTTTAAAAAAAATACATAACAAT